CAAGCACGCGGTCGAGCACTTGTGGCGTCAGGTAGCTCCAGGCAAATCACACGGTCATCTCTGTATAATTTTACGCAGTCAATTCGCAGTTTTTTGTAGTCAGCTCACCCTTTGTAGTAAACAATACGGTCAGTTATCTCCAGACAACTCTCGTGAACATCATTGAACCATCATAATTAATCTCATCAGTGCCAGTGGTCCAGTAAAGTCAGTTGTAGTGTCTTTGGGCGCGAAGCTGAACTGGCGTCGACGCCATAGTGACTCACGGACAGTCACACATACACCACACACTCGAACAACTCAGGTGTATAGTGTGCCTGTTGCTATTCACTGTTTGAGACTTTTTTGGTGAAAACGATAACCATCAGACGATTCATAAGTGTATGAACACTGAATGTACAGTCAACTCACATAAACTTAGTGATTATCAATTTCTATTGTTTAAGTTAAGTGTTATTGGTTAATAAAATCTATAAAACCCATACAATTTGGTGTTAATGAACTATTTTTAAGGAACATTCTAGCATCCAACCTTTTTCTTTGTTCTGCTCGTATCATTACAGTCCACTAGTTTTTAGTTTTCTCGTCCGGTCGACTCGAAGTCAGAACATTTGGTCCTTCAAGCCGGATGAGAACGGCTTGGATGCATATTGAACAACTCTGGAAGGTTCTATTGCTTAATAATTTTGTGAAATGTTCTGTATAAATTGCTTGTAATTCAGTAAGACTCAAATAACTTTCAGTGTTAGTGTGTAAATAACCTTACAGACAAAAGGTGTTTACGCATTCCAATGCCCAGTGACACTCATCTTTATTGTTGTGACATAGTGGTGCTCATTCTCACCAATTGAAAAGTTTCTTGAGACGCTTGGCGCGCATTTTTGTTAGAGTCAAGATAATCTTGACACAGGCAACTCACGTGTATATAAACATCGTTCAATAATTAGTGCAGTGTTCTTAGTGTAACTCTTGTCACCTAAAGTTATTAAGAGCTCGTAGACTCAGTTAATTCATTTGTGTGAATCTTTTGGTGTTGAGACTTTATTGAAAGCCCACCATTGGTATCAAGGTGACATTAGACAACTCTAGCAACATTTTTTGTGCATTTTCTTAGTAATAAATGTAGCTCTAGTGACATTAGACAACTCACTCAACTGAACTATCGCAGACAAATGGTTAATTTGCCTGCAAAATCGGACTACGTAGATGTAGCCGAAGACAATGAGTCAGTTGAAGGGATTAGTGAGATATTAAAGCAAGTGAGTGTAAGCCAAGCGCCATCACCAGTTCCAGTCGACTCTCAGGCAGAAGGTATCAGTGGACCAACACTCAAGGTTCCCGAAAAAGCCACCACATCACGTGACAGGTCGAAATCACCTCCTGCCCTGGCAAACACCACGCTGTTTAAGCTTACATCTCAAATGTCCAGGTATGAGCAGCTTCAATTTATGCAACAAGATGTGGCTGACCTTGTGCGACAGCCTGCTCTCGTCACAATGTCTATGACCGAGGCTAAGCTATCCCAATTAAACGACCTCTGGACATACTTCGTAGTGGAGCATGAGGCATTAGGTGTAGAATGTCGGTTGACGCTTTTTCAGCACAAATACATGACCGATAGAGTGTACCAAGTGCTTTAAGGCTTCATTACCACATAGAGTCAACTCTCCATCGTGTTAAATCAGAATTACACGAGAAAGACATCCAGAAGGCCATCGACGACTACAAAGCCTCAACTCAGCAGACGACTCCAATGATCTACAGACAGGCAACTCTCCCAGAGATCCCTCTCCCAACATTCGCAGGCGACTCATCAACGTGGACGCAGTTTAGGGACATGTTCACATCCCTCGTTCACGACTGGGAAGATCTCAGACCAGTGGCCAAACTATATTACCTTAAGGCCAATGTATCAGGTCCCCCACTCCAATTGATTCGTCATGCAGTGATGAACGACGATAGATACGAACCAGTGTGAAATCAACTCAAGGCCAGGTATGATGACCCAGAGCAACTCATCTTCACTCACATCAAAGATTTGTTCAGTGTGACTACACCATCATCAAAGTCAGCTGAACAACTCGATAACCTCGTAGGCGTGGTACGCCAAAACTGAGATGCCTTGAAGGTACTCAATGTCCCAGTCGACTCAGCAAACTACTTCTTGGTATACCTGGTGGCCAGTAAACTTGAGCAGCCGCTACGTGAGTCATGGGAACTCGAGCGAAGTAGGTCTCACTCACCGACGACTCTGGACCGTCTACTCTCGTTCGTCGCACGTGCGATGGAGTCAGCGCAGGAAGCAGCCCGTCAAGCAAAACGGTGGCCTACTCCAGTGATCACCAGAAAGTCCAGATCACGACAACAGTCCACACGCCAGCAGACAACTCAATCGCAGACGACTCGAGCCTCCAGGCATGGGGCTCAAAAACGACAAGCAGATTACCCGTGTGATCAATGCAGCAGCTTGGATCACTATTTGGTTGACTGCAAATCATTCGCAGGACTCTCGCAACACGACCGATACAAGCTGGTCCTCGCAGCACGGCTGTGCTTCAGCTGCTTCGGCCACCACTCCATGCAGGTGTGTCAGTCAGAGAAGAGGTGCAGTACGTGCAATTGATAGCACCACTCAATGATTCATACGCCCAGGACAGAGTCCTTGAGAAAAAGAGGGTATGGACCAGGCCAAGAACCGCAGCCTACTCACAGCAGCCAACAGCCATCAGCCTCCCAGCAGTGTGGTGATGACGTGCCATTTCCACAGCCGACCCCAGATCACACTCATTCATCTGAACTGACTTCTCACCAGGTAACTCATCATCACAGTCAACTCTCTGTATTTAACTCTGATTATGCTTCAGTCAACTCTTCAAGTGGTGGTGTGATCACTCAACATGCAGACAACTCAACAATCAATGGTGATAAATCATGTCAATCTATATGCGCTAACAGGAGTAAAGAACGCTTCTCTGATGACTCGACGGAAGGGATGAACTTAGCACATGAGGTTTCGGCCTCAGGAGGGTTGAGGGTCCTGGAAGAAGAGTCAGAAGGTCTCGTTCGATCTCCTACAGCTGAAGAAACTAGTCAAACTTACACTAGTCAACTCTCAGACGACTCACATGATTCAACAATCACCAAGAACAAGACAGACAACTCAGAGATTCATGGACGATTCTCTTCAGCACTTAGAGCAGCAGAAGAGACATGTATTAATGAGTCTTCAGATCAATTAGACAGCTCAGCAGTCTTACTCGCCACAGCCACTGCAGTATTACTCTCAGCTTCCAGTAAGACTCCTAATAGACTCAGGGTCTGAGCTTACGTTCATCTCATCAAGTGTGGTAAAGACTTGTCATCTCCAACGTCGTCCATCAGTAATATCAGTGCGGGGCATCAGTAACGAACCAGCTGTACAAACTAGAGGAGTGACAACAGTGACACTTGGATCAACTCACACACAGGAGCAAGTTACAATTAATGCTCATATCCTCAAATGTGTCACTGGTACTTTACCAACCAGATAACTCAAGGAAATCAACTGGTCAGCTCTCAACTCTCTTCAACTTGCTGATCCAGACTACTCAACTCCAAGACCCAACGATATCTTAATAGGAGCAGATTGTTATGGTCTGATTGTGAAGGCGGGCATCAAACAATTTCCTTAGTCATCTCTAATAGCCCAAGATTCAATCTTTGGATGGATGCTCATTGGAATGCCACAACAGACAAGATGCTCAACTACGAGAACTCATCACGCAGCAAGGGTCAGCTCATACCAGCAAGTATCTGATCTCTTGATAAAATTCTGGGTTCAAGAAGAAGTTTCAGATACTTTAGCCAGCCAACTCAGCCCAGATGATCAATCGTGTGAAGATCATTATGTTACGACTCATTCAAGAGATCAAGATGGGAGATACATTGTGAGAATACCACTAAAAGCATCACCATCTCTTCTAGGCAACTCATCAGCGAGAGCTCATCAGTGTTTACGACACATGATCAGACGACTCACAAAAAATGACTCATATGCACAACTCTAAAGAGACTAGAACTCACCGCAGCATTGCTGCTTGCCAGACTAATCACTTATGTAAGAAACAAATTAGACATTCAGCCAACTCAAACGGTATGTTGGACAGACTCCTCAGTAACATTGACCTTGATTCAGTCTCACTCATCCCGTTGGAAGGAGTTTGTAAGAAATAGAGTGTCAGCAATTCAAGATCTCACTCCAATCAGCGTTTGGAGGTTTGTGCCTGGCAAACGAAATCCAGCGGATTGTGCTTCTCGAGGTATCAGCATATCCCAGCTTCGGAAGCACCCCCTGTGGTGGACAGGTCCACAGTGGTTAACAGTAGACGAATCATCATAGCCAACTCAATCATCAGTGTACGATTCAAAAGCTCAGCAAGAAGAGCGACCAGTGATCACGTTAAATACTCAGATAATTCACCATGATTATCATTCGGATATGATGTACAGACATTCTCGTCTAATCAAATTGCTCAGAGTGACTGCAATTTGCTTCAGGTTCAGCCAACTCCTTAGACGAGTACCTCAGTCATCTCTTACCTTTCCTCTCACGCCATGAGATTTAGAGAGAGCAAAGATTTTTTGGATGAAGGCAACTCAAGAATCGTACTTCTCACAGGAAATCAAGCAAATCAACTCAAATTCACTGCCCGTCTCACACCCCCTAGCACGATTGACAGCATTTATTGACACTCAAGGAGTCATACGTGTTGGAAGGAGGTTAGCAAATGCTAGCTTGGACCAAGAAGCAAAGCATCCTGCAATCCTACCACAGAAAACTCATCTTTCCAGACTAATCATTGCAGATGCTCATAAAAGAACATTGGGACGGTGGGACGCAGGCAACTCTGAACCTCATACGATCATCGTACTGGATCATTGGCGGACGACTCCCAGTACGATCCTATATTTATCATTGTATGAAATGTGCTCGTTTACGTGGCGAACGAGCGAAGCAGTTAATGGGTCAATTGCCGTTATCAAGAATCACTCCAGCCCGACCATTTGCCGTCTGTGGTGTGGATTACGCTGGTCTCATCACGCTAAAGACTTGGATAGGCAGAGGCACCAAAACATCGAAGGGTTGGATGTGCATTTTTGTGTGCTTCGTTACATCTGCACTGCATTTAGAGATTGTAACAGATTATTCAGCAGACTCATTCATTGCAGCGTTCAGACGGTTCACTGGACGTCGAGGTGACTGCAGAACTCTCCACAGTGATTGTGGCACCGCATTCCGAGGCGCAGACACGCTCATCAGACAACTCTTCAAGCAGAGGACTCAACAGGCCAGTCAACACGCAGCTGTATTTACAAAGGATGGAACTGAGTGGAGGTTTAATCCACCAGCTGCTCCACATATAGGAGGAAAATGGGAAGCTGCAGTCAAATCTGTAAAGTTTGATCTTAACAGAACCATAGGCGACTCATTCTTTACATATAAAGAGCTTTTCACACTGCTTGTTCACGTGCAGAAGATCAGCAAAGGCGTTGCTGATGGTGGGACAATGTTCTGACTTGGAGGGCCCCAAGTCAGCAAGTCTCAGAATATTTGAAAATTGGCGCGTCAGTCAACTCACTGGACCAATCATCGGGAAGTATGTCCCTCATGGCCCAGAAGGCAACTCTACGGCCCTAGTGACGCCAACAAGCACGCGGTCGAGCACTTGTGGCGTCAGTTAGCTCCAGGCAAATCACACGGTCATCTCTGTATAATTTTACGCAGTCAATTCGCAGTTTTTTGCAGTCAGCTCACCCTTTGTAGTAAACAATACGGTCAGTTATCTCCAGACAACTCTTGTGAACATCATTGAACCATCATAATTAATCTCATCAGTGCCAGTGGTCCAGTAAAGTCAGTTGTAGTGTCTTTGGGCGCGAAGCTGAACTGGCGTCGACGCCATAGTGACTCACGGACAGTCACACATACATCACACACTCGAACAACTCAGGTGTATAGTGTGCCTGTTGCTATTCACTGTTTAAGATTTTTTTGGTGAAAAATTAACCATCAGACGATTCATAAGTGTATGAACACTTAATGTACAGTCAACTCACATAAACTTAGTGATCATCAATTTCTATTGTTTAAGTTAAGTGTTATTGGTTAATAAAATCTATAAAACCCATACAATTTGGTGTTAATGAACTATTTTTAAGGAACCTTCTAGCATCCAACCTTTTTCTTTGTTCTGCTCGTATCATTACAGTCCACTAGTTTTTAGTTTTCTCGTCCGGTCGACTCGAAGTCAGAACAGATATTATATATTATAGATGGTTGAGGTTAGGATTTTTAGGGAATTAAGGGATTCCTGTTCTATTTTGAAGGTGGAGGGAAGTCCTCAGGGGACTGGAAGGTATTTGTGGAATGAGGAAACGCGCCGGGAAAAGTTTGATGGAGTGTCTCTTTGACTCTTTCCTCCAGGATCTACTTTTTAACCATTTCAGAGAAGTTTTCGTCGTAACAAAAGCTATTTATTATTTATATGGAATAGCCGGGTATTTCAGGGTCTCGGATCTTGAAAGTAGACAATGGAATGAAGTGTAATTTTTATGTTTCTGCTTAATATATATATAGGTAGTTTCTCACGTACCTTATTCCTTGATTTGGTGTGGTAGAGTAATTTATCCGAGAGGAATATATATCGAGAATATATGAGCGACGCAAGAGAATAATACTACGAGCAAATATTATGAATTTCGGCAACGACGATGAGTTGCACCACGCACGCAGAATGCGGGTGTGAGAGGTATCCGTCAGCACGCTGATGATATTCGTCGGAGGTCTCCAGTATTCCTTGGAGGTTCTGAAGTCAATTTCTGCAAATTTGCGTGCAATGGACAGGAGGATTTTAACCCTAGGAAATTGTCTTCCACGAGTAATACAATTATAGAAACTTTATTCAAGGATATCTGCGTACAACCCGCAGGATTCACCAATCCGCGACCTGAAGCGGACCCATTATTACACGCTTCACTATAATTGATTGTACTGGTCCAATTGTAATTAATTATATAGCTTACAATAATTACTGGAATACTAGCCGGGTACGAGGCGGCATAAACATAACAAGACAATTGCCAGAAGGGCCAATAAGTATTATTTACAATTATGATAATTACGGGGGCTCGCCCGTGCGCGTAGGCCCTTTTATAGGTACAATAAAATTATTCCGAGCTCACCCTGATAATACTACAGCGGAGAGTACTGGGAAATCCTCAGAAAATCTGTCTCGTTGTTTCGGGTTGACCTTCGGCGACCTTCTGCTGCCTTGGATGCTACATCTGCCGGAGAAGTGATGGATGGCGGCTGCTGCTAGACTGCTGAGTATGCGGGGGACTACCCTGGCGTCCTGACCTGATTTTCTGTCTGCTAGGAGTCTGGCTGCGTCGTGGCCGATACCTTCTTGGTTGATCTTCCACTGTGCGCGTCTACCGGTACTACCGTCCTCGGGAACTTCCGTGACTTGTAGCGTTTTAATTGTACTTACACGAGCGCGTGGTGTAACTCGGCGTCTCTAGCGTTCAACTGACGGCATTCACCTGACTTCTCTTCGCTCGCGCGTCGAGGTAGCCGCCGGATTCTGGCGGGATCCCCCACCGTCTTCTGACTCCGCCCCTTGGCTCGACCGAAGCGCTGACTAGTGGAATATTTTGTAGGTTGTTCTTCCCATGATACCGACTGTAGTTGCGGTGGTGCTGTGACAGCAAGTGGAAATCTCCCATAGAGGGCGACATGAGTGTACGTTGCCTCAGGTTTTCTTCTGACCGGCACGGATGGCGCCACTTGTCCGATATGGACAATGAACTTAGACTCGTCTTGTCACAAAACTAACTAAAGAGTATTTCTTAACAAAAGGTTTCTCAGTAACCCATAACTTAAAACGCAATATCTTAACTTTTGACAAATAGACAAAACTTTAAATCAAAGTAACTAAACTAAATCATAATCTTCTTTACTTAATCTACAATTAAACTTAAAATTAACGAGTATGAGAGCAAACCAAGCTTCATGAATCTCTCCCTTTTTGAAATCTTTTATCTTCTCTTCTCCTTCTGTTTGAAAATGATATAGGATGAGTAAAAATGCTGGGTTAACTCAATCATGGATGTACGAAAATAATTTAATACAGATAAACTTTATTAAACAATAGGCAACAGTAATCACAGTTTAAAGTAAATGAGTTTATGAGTTCACTTGAGTTCATGGAAACGATGAGCACTGTAGTTACACTAGTGAATGAGAGTTTGAATGTACTACGACGTGGGTTGTAAGTCCACGCCGTTCACAATGAGTTCAAGAATTATGAATACTATTATCTATGAGTTTATTGAGCACAAGATGAGTTCAGTGAGCTGCTGACGTTAATTGTTGAGCACTAATTATGATCTCGATGTTTACTTGAATAGAATGAGTTCAGAACAAAGAAAAATGAGTGCGTGTACGACAGCTACGATCCAGCGTCGGTAAGCGCGGTTCAGCAACAACTTGTCGGCTATCGAGTTTTATCGAGAAAATTCGTGAAGCCCGGAAGTCGGCGGCGTTGAGGGCCCTAATTGGTCCGAGTAATGAGTGTTCTAGTTGGTTACCGGCCAGGTGACCAGATATGAATTATTGAATTGAGTGAGGTTAGCTCTTCAGTAATTAATTACTGAACACCTTCCGAACTCAAAATTTATTGAACTTGTCGTATAACACTTCTTATTGGTAGTTATCTTCACGTGGCTTCTCCCAGATTTTATTGGGAAGGGCCACTTACAACTAATGTGCACCAAAACTTACTTCTAATTCCAAAACTTAATTTCTAGACTTAAAAACTTATAACTACTGCCTCCCAGCATGGGAGGATATTTCATAATAGTTTAACTGTTTGTGAGGAGACGATTCTATTACTAAATGAGTTTTGGTCATTTTTTGGTTGTATATTGTATTGCAATCTGAGAATCTTAAAATTGTTTAATACTGGACTTGTCCACCGGCGCGTCAGTGAACTCATTGAACCAATCAGGGAAAACTGTTGCTCTAGTGGCCCAGCAGACAACTCTACGACCTTAATGACGCCAACAAGCACACGGTTTAGCACTTGTGGCGTCAGTTAACTCCAGACAACTTACGCGGTTGACTCTGTGGTTTTCTACGCAGCCAAATCGCAGACTTTGTTATTAAACTCACGATTTTCAGAAAAACTCTATATCAGTCGTTTCAGTCAGTGTCCCACGGAAAAACGCGAGCGAGAATTAGTAGTCTTAACAGTGCAAGTGGTCTAGGAAAAGCAGTTGTGTGTCTTTGGGCGCGTAACTGTGCTGGCGTCGACGCCATAGAGCCTCACGGACAGTCACACGTACAGCACACCCCTGAAAAATTTCGTTGTATTGTGTGCCTGTCGCTACAGGCGGTCTGAGATAGTTGTTGTTATTCTATCGCGCAGACGACTCGTTGTAGTGACTCGAAGTAAGAATATTTGGTCTTTCGAGCTGGATGAGAACGGTTTGGATGCATCTCTAACAATTCTAGAAGATTCTAATGGTGAATGTTTTAAGTGAATATTTAGTGAAATATTCATTATAAAGTGTTTGTGACCAGACAACTCTTTGTGTTTCCGTGTAAACAACTTCAGAGGCAAAAGTTGTTTACGCATTCCAGTGCTAAGTGACACTCATATTTGTTATTGTCGTTCAGTGGTGCTCATTTTAACCAACTTGGACTTTCCTTTAAACGCTTGGCGCGCATTCTGGTTAGGGTCAACATGGCCTTGACGCAGTCAACTCACGTGTCGATAAACATAGTATTTAGTTTAATGTCCTTAGTGTAAGTGTCGTCTCCTCACAAGACTATTAAGAGTTCGTAGACTCGTTCAATAAATTGTGTGATATGTTTGGTGTCGAGACTTTCGTGAAAGCCTACCATTAGTGCCAAGGTGACATTAGACGACTCTTGCAATCGGTTTTGTGCAGTTTCTAGTAATAAGTGTACTGGTCGTGATCCCAGACAACTGAATTAAGTAAATCATGGCAGATAAACGTGTAATTTCTCCTGTCAAGTCGAACTAGGTGGATGTAGCTGAAGATAATGATTCAAATAACGGTGATAGTAAGTTGTTAGGACAAGTAAGTGTGGAGCAAGTGCCATCACCCATTCTAGTTGACTCTTATGCAGAAGGTACTAGTGAGACGATGCTCAAGGTGCCTGACAAACCTACTACATAAGGCACTAGGTGTGGGGTGCCGGTTGACGCTCTTTAAGCACACGTACACAATAGAGTGTACGAAAGTGCGTTGAGGATTCATTACGACATTGAATCAACTCTCCACCGCATGAAATCAGAATTACACGAAAAGCACATCCAGAAGGCAATCAACGACTACAAAGCCTCAACCCAGCAGATGACTCCATTGATTTACCAACAGGCAACTCTCCCAGAAATAACTTTACCGACATTCTCAGGCGACTCATCAGAATGGACCCAGTTTCGTGATATGTTCACGTCTCTGTTCTATGACAGCGAAGACCTCGTTT